CAGAGGAGTAAATGACTCTCTGCTAAAGACAGGAGGGGAAAATAAGCTTAGGAAGAAACTTAGATATACAGAGAAATAAAGCACTTACGGTATCTTACAATAGAATTTTACTAGTAGAGATCATCATTTTCTTGGATGGTCTTTAAAACAGATTGCAGAATACAAAGATCTGAGTTCTAGTTCTGAGTTGGCCAGTAAGTAGATGTGTGACTTTGAGCAGGCAACTTCATTTATAAATGAATATTATATTAAATTCTTTCTGAAGCTCCTTTTAATTCTAACATTTCATGATTGCATAAATTTCATTCTTTGAAAAAAATAAAGGCAATTCCAACATGATGTGAGACAAAAAGGGAATAACTTCCTGCAGAAAGCTCCTGTCCAACACTGCAGCTTCAAGAGTGATGCAAGATGATGAAAGAAGCTGTGAGAATGGTGGAAAACTCAAAGCCATGACAGCGAGGAATGTTGAAGAGATGAGAAATTTAAGACATAAATTACTAAAAACTATTATTTACACAGAAAAGAAAAAAAGAACACTAAAGCAGGCTCTAAAGCATGCCCCCATCAAAACGGGTACTACTCTATATGGGGTAATTTGTTCCTACTTGGATGAGGTCATCACTCGAGGTCTAACTACTTTTAATAAGGAGTTCACTTCAGCCACCTCTCACTTTCTCCCACATAGGACGGAATCAGCTACACTCTCAATGACCTACACTTCATGAGTCATAATTTTTCTGTTTATGATTCAGAAAATGTCTTCAGTCAGTATTTCCCAGACTGCTGTGGGTTTATTCCAAGAACCAATTTCACCTCCATTGGTTTCCTAGAGGAAACCAGACCAACTTCCTATTATTTTATTTTCCTTACTTTTAGCATACCATAGCCCACATCAAATTAACTGGATGTGAGTGATAGAGGACTTCACTCTGTGCAAAGAGAAGCCAACACAAACAATGCCCAGTCTAGAAGTCACAGATTCAAAAGTAAACACAAAATGCGCTAATATTAGAACTTTCTTTCAGAAAAGTTCCAAACCAAATAATAAGAAATGCATTTTAATTAACCTTATTGCAAGCATTCCATTGTCAGAAAGAACTTTTGTTTAAAAACTACTGTCTATGAATACAGAAAATCGGACAAAGCTGATTAATATACAGAAATTAACTATAAAAAACAAAACATGTATTTCCCATCCTAATCCCTAACAAGCTGCCAGGAGAACAGGCAGACAACTGAGCCCAGTGCAGAGCCTGGGAGATGTGGGGACAGAGCGGCATCTCCAGAGCAGCCCGGCTGTTTGTCTGTCTTCACAGCTGCCCACACCAGCCCCTGCCCACACCCACTCGTCCATAACTAAGGATCCATCTGACCTTAGACCACAGCAGAGATAGCAGCAGGAACATGGGCTTTTAAAGGACAGTTTGTCAGTGGCTTGTTGTCATACTTTTCTCCTAAAACACTAGGAGTACCGGAGAAGTATTTATTCTCATGGACTACATACTGCTCAGAAAAAGATTTCTGAATGGGAAGAATCTGGGTATAAATATACACTGCATTCTCCTCAGATGCTTTCCTTCTCATCACCCTGATCATATGGGTACAGTTTCAGGCTTTAAAAGCTCACAGTCATGAACCAGCAGGGAACAGGGCCCTACCATGTCAAATTCCAAAGCTGAGACAGTAAAGGAAGCAGACCTATGGAGAAAGTATTTAAGGCACATATTATATGTGGATAAACCGAGACACCTGCAGCATCACAGCAGTAGTTCTGAAAGTGAAGTCCCACGCCAGCAGCAGCTCACTTGGATGGGTCCCTAGAAAGGGAAGTCCTCAGACCCCTCTCCAGGCCTAGGGAATCAGCAGCTCTGGGGAAGTGAGCTTTATCATATTCTCTCTTCCTTATACCGGGAAATTTCTAGAAAAGACTCCACTTGATTTACATTTCCCTCACAACCCCTTAACTTCTAAACCCTCTGCACTTTGGCTACTCTTCTAATGGATTGCTAAAATGCTCTTTTTAAAAGTCGCATATCATCTCTAACCAGTGACCATTTCCTGGGCCTTCTTCCCCCAGACTCACCTGAATTGCCTAGTGCTCACATCCCCTCCTGCTTGAAATGGCCTAATTTTCCTTACTTCCGTGACACAATTCCACCCTCCTGCCTCTCCATCTCCCACTTCCTGTCATCAGGGACTGCTCTTGCTCCTTCCACAAATAAGTACATGCCTGTCTCCAAGATTAAATCTTCAGTCTTCTACTCCTCTTTTTTCAGCAGCTGCTTTGGCATCTCAAGAACTCCCAGAACTGAATTTCCACCTCTGTACCCCAAATCTCTCTCAATCCTCTCAACATACTTTAAACCACCTCATGGCCAGCTTCACCTGAATGTCCTTCCAGTACTGCAATGGAACATACCCAAGAGGGAACTTCTCATTTCCTCCACCTGACTCCAGCAGTTCCTCCCTGAATGCCTGGTCCCCTGTACACTTAAGTATCACACTCCCTCTTCTCTGGCTCCCCATATCTTGCCAGCAGAGGGGTCAGCTCTACCGGGCATCCTGTTTCACCCTCATCATTCCCACTTCTCATGCCACTGTGTCCATCCAACAGCTGTCTTCTGAAGCCCTACCTTAAGACTCCTACCTATAAAACTCATCTCTGAATATATTTTTCCCCTGTTCAAAAACAGGTGGAGGCTGCCCAAATGCAGCCCAACTTCCTGCCTAGCCTTACCTCACAGTTCTCCTCAACAAATTATTTGCTCAGTTAATCTAGAATGCTCATCATGTTGCAAACACGTCCCATCTTCTCATTTCTGACTCTTGGCCTTATATTATTACCTCCCTTTTAACTACCAGTTCCCATTAACTATGTCTATAACTTTCCTTCCTAAACCTTCTCCTTGACAACAGGCATAACTCCCCCAAACTGAAGTTCTCTTCCACCTGTCTCTATAGACCCAAATATTTAGTACCAGCCTCTGTCATTGCCACCATCCACCCCCAAGGAAGGTGAGACCCTCCACAACAGAAGTGGGTCTGACACACCTTTGTGCCCTCCGCTCTACCATGCATGCAAATATTTGTTCAACGGTTAAATGACCTTACACACTCAGTTAAGTACCATTTCTGCCAATTAACCAGTGTTTGGGAGCAGGCGAAACACAGTAAAAATAGATAAACTTCACATACATAGCAACTTAGGAGGAATCAACTCAATCTCCTGTGCTTTCCACACTTATCACAGTACAGCCACCCTAGTAGAAAAAACAGATACTATTAGGCTCACTTCAAAGGAAGGACAGTATGTCAGACTTTTTGAACCACAAAAACATTTTAGAAAAAGAAGACCGGCTCACTTAATACCAAAATGAAAGGGGGGAGGCGTTCTATAAACAAATATTTATAAAATTTTCTGCAACTGACACCATGCCAGTTTACAGCTTTCAGAGGTGATAAACTATCTACAATCCAGAGGAAACTTCTTAATCTGAAGGAAATTAAATAACGAAGCATTCATTCCAAAACATTCTATTTTTTCTGGAAGACACTCTCCTGGTCGGTCAGGAAGGCCAAGCAGCTAGATAAATTATAATGTGGAATATGGGCTGATTGCTTCAACTAGGGATAAGTAATTCATTCCTGGAGTGATAAAGAGTCACTGCTTCTCTGTGGGAAAGAGGGGTGATAATCTCTCAAGGCATGGTATGCAGGATACTCTTTGAAAATGAGAACATTCACTAGGAATCATTTAGAAAAACAGCTCTGCTCTAACCTTGATACCTTTCACAAATCACAGCTTAAGCTTCGATACAGAACAGAATTATCAGAGATTAAGAAAGGGGTTAAATTTTTTTCTGAGACAGCACAGACAAGAAGTGTTTTTACTAATTGATATGTAGCCATCCTTCAAAGTTAATATTTTAGAAAATATCATAATCATTTACACTCAATTTTTAAATTCAATATCAATTACAAAACTGGACTTACCATTATATTTCTCTATGTTCTATACCTGGTTTCATTTTACCTAATTTATAATTTCTCCCTTAAAATAGCAGAGATCTAAAACAGGCATATAGCTTCCATTCTGCCCTAAGCTGGGAAATGGAGAAAGCAAACACATAACAAGTCACCTTAACTACTTTCTGAAATAAGACTGTCGAATTCATTCATCAAATAGCAAAAAAATGCTGATAGAATCTCTGCACTGTTTTAATTTAGATTTAATTTGCTTTTATTTCAAAGTTCCACTAACTATCCTGATTGAATAAGTTATCTACATAGATGTCATATCACCCCTGGCTTCAGATTTCACTCACTCAAGTGAGCACCAGGATTCAGCAACAAAAACCTGACTGAAACAAACTGCTAGAACCCTGGAGATGGGCTGCTCAGGTTTACTGCAAGTTGTTCCAGAAAAAAAAGGAAAAGTAAAGAGAGGTAGATAGACTACCAGAGAAAAGAAATCAACATTAGCTGTATCACACTGAGGTGACAAGAAGCTAAAAAGTTTTTCTTCCAATGATTTTTACTACTTATAATAAAAGGTAATTCTGTTGATTTGAACATGTTATTCAGACTCAGAAATATTATTTTCTCAGCCAGTGATATAACCACTAACAAAAATTAATATTAAAATAGAAGTTTTATTGAGTTACATTTTGTAACACTTTAACAAAACACTTAATTTACAATATGATTTGAAATGGCAGAAAATACATCCAAGCAGGGCTCATAACTGCAAAATAAATGAATACTGCTATTTTAATGTTAGCAGGATTTAAAAACATAGCATTACATATTCAATAACAGAGAATGTACTTTTAAGAAATGTATTGGTATTTCTATTAGGATTCGTTAATACCCAAATCAGTATTGATTAAATTTGAGGACTACGGTTGTATCATTGCATTAGAAACAACAGACAAAAAATAAAACACAGACTATCTCAGGAGCACAGCCAGAGAAACCATGACAACAAAAAGGCTTACTTTGACGTGGCTCTGGGCCCCGAGATTGTAGATCTCAGTGGGCTTAACTTCATTGATGATCTTCACCAGGCAAGTGCTGTCAGTGAGATCACCGTAGTGCAACTTCATGTCTTCAGGATTTAAAAACATAGCATTACATAGAAGAAAACAACATTAAGCCCAATTTTTTTAAGTGTCAGAACTGAAATGCATATTCTGAAAGCCTGAAAAATGGGTTCTGGATCAACAGTCTTTAAAAAGTGAGATAGTAGAAAGATATTCACATTTGTAAAAACTCAGATGAACTTTTTAAAAACACAATATTATGACAGATGTTACACAATTAACTATGGCTCCCAGGTGGTTGTAAAATGTGTTACATAAGAGTGAGATTCAGACAAAGAAAATCTCTCCATAATGTATAAACTCTAAAAACATCTAACACCTTGATAAAAGTAAAGACAGCTATGTTCAGATACTTTTATCTAGTAATTTTTAACTACTTCATAAAAATCAATTCTTAAGCCACCAGTGAAATGCTTGAGGTAGTGACATAACTGGTTAAAGGGCAACTAGCCTACTCTAACCCTAAATCTAAGCAGATCCTTACACTGACTTCATTAGTCAATGACATACGTATGTGGGCAATTTGCTAACTTGATCTTTTCAATATTTTTACACAATATTGATTTATGTCTAGATCCAGTGGCAGTACCATTCTGTACTTTGCACAAAAATAATAATAATTTTTGAGGAGGATTAATGAATAACCTAAATGAAAAGCTTTTATAGGGGACAATGCGGTCATCTTCCTGATGATGTCACTACCTGAACAGGTAACCCCAACCTTCAGATATTCCAGGATCCATAAATCACTTATGGTTTCCAAGCTGACTGAATCATCCCTGCTAGCCCAAAAAATTGGACAAGTAAAGCAAGAAAAACTAGGAAGTTTAAAAAAAAAAAAAAAAATGCTGTGTCCTAGCCGCAGCTATATCTTTTACATGTTATGTGGCCTTGATAAAGTGACCACCTCTCTCCGCCTCCATCTCCTCATCTGTAAAACCTCGGGAGCTACTGGAAAGAACCCTTGAGAAAACACAGTGACTGTGCCATGTAAACTATACAGCTATATACAGGCAATTTCATTAACAAAAATAACAAATTGCAAATACTGACAACAATCTATACAGCAAGTAAATACAAGTTTTTATTGCCACTTGGTTTGGCACTTGTCTTCACAAGTCATTTTTAAAAATAAATGTACAGAGACTGCTTAACTTAATCACATTAGACGTAACATAAAAAGCAAGAATACTCTGTGACTGTGGAGCTGGCCTTACTTGAGGGGGTAAGAACACTGAAGAAGGTTGATCAAAGGCATGTCTCCTCTTGGTGTCTACAGTGGCAAGACCTGACCAACATCCTTGTAACAGCCTCACCAAGATGACACTGTGACCCAGGGGCAGAAAGCAACAAAGGGCTTTCAAAGCATGCAGACAGCCTCCTAACAGGCATTTCACGGATAAATAACTGCAACTTGATGGGCTATGAGAAAAAGGACATTTGAAAATACCTCGTAATACAAAAAGTTATAGAAAGAGATTTTAGAAAAAGACAATTACTTACTTCCTTCAATATGAGCCTGGGGGTTCTTATATAGATGTTCAATTCGGCCAGTATTGAATGAACTGGATCTCCGTACAATTCCATGAACCTGCATTTTCATAGTGTGGAAAGATAAGAATAAATGATAAATGTGCAATGAAGATGGCAACTCAGAAGTATTTTTGCTAATGTTTAGCTTTATAAATATATAACCCTTATTTATAAAAATTATTTTTCCATTATTAAAATAGTCTCACTGCATCCAGTCCCCCCAAACCACTGCCCTCTGCCACCAGCGCTCCACCCCCATCTTCGCTAGTGTTTTCACTGCCAATCTCAACAACAGTAATCAAATAATTATGTGACTTCATGCAAGCGCTCAGTGGTAGATACTCAAATGCCTCCTTTTCCAAACACACATTTACAGCCCTACTGCTGACAAAAATATCTCTTACATTTGAAACTGAAGACAGACCCATGAGGCCATATCAGTAAAACAGCCTTGTGATCTCTTTAACACAGAACAGGGGGCCAAAAGATCCAATGCCACCACACCTTTCAAATGTCCTCAGACCTTTGTATCTTACACCTATTATACACACACACACACACCTGGGTCCATGCATGTAATCAGAGAGTAGTTGCTGTGTGCAGCTGTGTGGAAAAGTAAGAAAGCTAAATAACATAGGTTGGGGACAAGACTTACATACTACCAAAGACATAAAGATAACCCAAATGAAGAGAGGACTTTTTAAAAATTGTTTACCTCTGAGTTAACACATAGTAAGTGTGAGGGGAAAAAGTCACTGGAACAAGAATGCATATGTGTCTAATACTGAAGAAAAGACTATTTGTGTCTGATACATAAGATAAATTGTTCAGCACCTGGTGCCACTTCCTTCTTCTGTCACCATTGCCCCTTTGTGTTGCCAATGCTAACACGAGCTATGTCACCGGCTGCCCACATTCCAGTTCCAATGGTGGCAGTTTTAATCCCTCACTTATTTCAGAAGTGTTCCTTCTAAAGCTGGGCAGTTTCATTTGCAGCTGAATACACTTCTATATTTTAACTCAATCGTTTTCTGTCTATTCAAAACAAAAATTAATCCTTGGCATGACTCAAATATTCCAAGTGCAGTGGGAAATTATACGCACATAAGACGTTCTTTCAAATAGAAAGAAATGCCATCGTCATTTTATATGGCATACATGAGAAACTGACGTCTGCAAAAGGATACCACACTCCCACAATAATTCTGTTGGTTAGTTGCTTTGTAATCGAAGAGAAAAGCATTCATTCACTTTTTTCCAAAAGAACTAAACCAAAAAAATTTGGTGAACATGAAAATATTTTAAGGAGGGAATATCACAACCTTGGTCAACATTTTAAGAGGCAAAATCTAGAAAACATTAAATATCCATTTAATGGGTATACATATCCATTTCTTAATTTAGAAGTGAAGAAAATAACACATTAAACTTAGGGTTTATTCTACTTGATGGTCTCCAATTTTTTAAATTGTTACTTAATTGCAAAGTTAAACTGCTCTACAAAATTAATAAAGGTTGTTTAATAAAAATCAAGTTCACAAATATACTGATACATAGCAAAATTGGTATTTACCACCAAAGTTATTTCTGAAATACAGATTTCTCAGCTTTATTTCACTGGATACAGAATAATTTATATGTTCTAAAAACAGATAATTTAACTGTGACAATGAAAAAACAATAAAATACGGTTTAGTCTATTTTTTCTCTTGACTGTTTCAAGAACTCAAAAAGAAATGCCATATACAAACACAATGTATACGAACATATAAGCTCTGATAAAAATGTAAATGATATTGATGAATTCAGTATAAAAATCAGACAACTATACAGAGTCACGGCATATAAACAACACGAGTGTGACAATAAAGCGTTAAGCACTAGTGTATTTTTTTAATACTAAATAATGTCTTAATTTTCCCTCACTCCCAACTTTTGGTGCATGCATACAGGGAAAGACAGACCTGCCAAGTGCTTGATGCATGACAGCAAGTGTTGTTCTAGGAACTATGAGAGCTAAGTTTGCCTGCCTCTGAGTCAGGTGAAATGCAAACTTCAAGACAAGCCAAACTGTGTGCACACAGGATAAGCTAGTTAAGAATTTGAGATTAGTGACTTTCTCTTTACAGAAGGGATGTAAGTAGGGTTTTTTGTTTGTTTTTATAAGGATTTGGGGGGAAAGAGATGAGGAGTTAGAAAACCAAAGTGAAAAGACAAATGAGCTGAATGTGACTCCATATAAACTTAATCAAAATCATTAAATTTTGGCAGTTCAAAAATAAAGTATAATTCTGTAAAACTGAGGTCTTAAAACAAATGGAAATGAATAAATAAATGGAAGTAAATAAATAAATTTATTTTGACAAATAAATTTCATGTCCCATTTAACTAGGTGATGAAAAAGAAAATTTTAAGTTCTCTCAGTGTCAAAACAAAGTTGGCTTTACTTCAAAGTCTAGAGTCAGATTTGGCAATACTTAGAGAAATCTTTCGTCCCTCCCTCCCTTCCTCTCTCTCCCTCCCTCCGTTCCTCTCTCTCTCCCTCCTTTTCTTCCTCCCTCCCTCCCTCCCTTTCTCTCCCTATCTCTCTCCCTTCTTCCATCCAAAAAAATCCACTTGTTTATTTATTTGTTTACTTACTTATTTAATACAGTCAAGAAAATAGAAAATTTTTACCACTGGATTTCAAATTCTTCAGTGTCTAAATTTTACTGGGAGGCAAGGATGCCTTCCGGGGGGGAGTGGGGGTTAATGCCACTTGTTTGTTTGTTCTTGAAAAGTACAGGTTATGTGGGTAACACCACTAGCTAACATGCACATGGCAGTGACTATGCCAGGCACTAATGTTTATATATATTAAACCACCTGATCTTCACAACAACCTATTACTACTCACACTCTACAGATGAGGATGCTGCCTGAGACCACACAGCTCACAAGTGGTCATATGAAAGGGTAGACAAGGCCCTGGCCAGGTGGCTTGGCTGGTTGGAGCGTCATCCTGTACACCAAAACGGTGGGGTAGATCCCTTGTCAGGGTGCATTCGGGTGGCAACCTATGGATGTTTCTCTCTCTCTCTCAAATCAATAAACATATCCTCGGGGGAGGATTAGAAGAAGGGTGGGCATGGTCCATCATGCTAACGCTCAGTATGGTTTCAAAATAAAAGCCATAAAAAGCTTTTTTTCACCACAGTTTCTGGGATATCCAACAACCCAGGAAAAGTACTTCAGGGATTCTCACAGATCAATAACGGAAGTACAGAAACTCCATATCCCAACAAACAATTTCTCAAAGATAACAACTAGACAATCTTTATAACCTGTTCTTGTTCTCTTGATCTCCTGGTTATACAATCTTTCCTGGAAGGGAAACCCACAACTTATCTATTCTTTACTGTAAATTCTTAGATGTTTTGGCATAGTTGTTACCAAGTTATTTAGTATAGATTTTTCACATATTCCCAGATAAATTTTAGCTTTTATCTTTTTAACACATATCTTTATTGATTTCAGAGAGAGGAAGGGAGAAGGAGAGAAAGAGAAACATCAATGATGAGAGAGTCAGTGATTGGCTGCCTCCTGCACACTCCCTACTGGGGATCGAGCCCGCAATCTGGGCCTGTGCCCTGACCAGGAATCGAAATACAATATCCTGAATCCTAGGTTGATGCTCAACCGCTGAGCCATGCTCGGCCAGGCTAAATTTTAGCCTTTGAAGGGTTGATTCTGGCCCTCATTTATCTGGTTTCTCTGTATTTTGTGCAGTTTATACTCAGTATTATTTTGGGTTAGTTTTGGGTGTACAGAGCATGCTGTGGGCTCACGGCACACAATGAGGCTAGGAGAGCACTGGGAACTAGAATGCAGTTTCATAAGACACCTCACTTCTGTTGGTTTTCCTTATTCCCTTATGAGGGGAAGGAATGTGCACAGGGCTAGGATCATAGCCCATGCAACACCCTGCCTTTCACTAAAGCTAAATAGTGCCCTGAACTAAGGAGCCCTCTACACACCTGTGGCCCTCAGCTTGGCAGCATCAGGCACTATGTCACTTGATCACTCCTGTATCCCCGCAGATCCCAGAGAGCTCCTCTGGACTGTCCTCCACAGACTATCTTTCCGAATCTTTATGGCGACCTTGGGAAAAAGGTGCCCCTAACAGCCCCATTCATGGGAACAGACTAAGCCTTATAAAGGTCTGGTAACTTGCCCAAGGCCACAGAGCCAGCAAGCGGCAGAGGAGAGTCAGGACACAGGCTGTCCAGCACCAGGGCCTATGGGCTTCCTCTCCACAGTGAGCTCAGCAACCTCATTCACCTCCTTAGCTCCGAGCTGACCTACACAGTATAATACAGAATTACCCTTTGTACTGTATAGAAATAAACACATAAAGTTTTTTTCTTGTTTTGTTTACTGGTCCCTGTTGCATATTTTTATTTTTTTTATTTTATTTTGCAATTAAAGATTACATTCAATATTGTTCTGTATAGTTTTAGGTGTACAGAATAGTGGCTAGAAAAATCATATAATATACTTCACAAAGTGTTCCCACCTCGATATTTCCAGTACCCATCTGGCAGAATAGTTATTACATTATTGACTATCTTCCCTGTGTACTTCACATCCCCATGACTATTCTGTAACTACCAATTTGTACTTCTTAATCCCTTCACCTTTTCACCCAGCCTCCCAACCCCTTTCCTCCACAGCAAACATCAGTCTCTTTTCTGTATCTATGCGTGTTTCAATTTCATTTGTTCATTTATTTTGTTCTTTAGATTCCACACATAAATGAAATCATATAATATTTGTCTTTCTCTGTCTTATTTCACTTAGTATAATACCCGCTAGATCCACCCATGCTGTCAAAAATGGTAAAATTTCATTTTATGGCCGAGTACAACCCATTGTATATATGTACCACCACTTTTTTATCAACTTGTCTACTGATAAGCCCTTGCATGGCTTCAATATCTTCACTATGGAAATAACGCTGCAATGAACATAGGGGTGCATATATACTGTTGCATTAGTGTTTTGGCTTTCTTCGAATAT